CCTTTGATGGGCCAAGTCAACCGATATGGACCATAGGCCCCAACGATCGAGCCCACATACTTCTACAATATTGAGTAAAAATCTTCAATTTTTTCAGCATAATTTAGAGGAAAAGGGAAAAATTAAAATATATTTTGACACTTTAAATTTTAAGATGACCAATTAGTATTATTAATTATATAAAATATGATATCTACAAGCGAGTGAATTAGTTGGCAGCAAATTCTTCCAACTTAACTAGAGGCATTGGTTTCAAATCCTGAAAATGCAGTTCTATTAAAACTCGTGGCGGAGGATTTTGCCGTCTATTAGGTGATACTCGGCTCGAATCCGGATTTAGTCCATGACCCAATAGATTTCCGAATACCGAGTGATTCATATAAAAAAAAATTATGTAAAATATGATAGGAACCTTAATTTTATCAAACTTATTGTATAATTATTATTAGAGACTAATGTTTTTAATGGCAAGACATTATAATTTTCTCTTTTTCTTATTTTAGAATACAAAAATATTTTATAAGACATTGTACACTAAAAATATAATTTATCTTATAAATTTATTAAAATACTTTTAATGAAATTAGTTTTTATATTATTTTATTTAAAATATTTTAATCAATTCATAAAACAAAGTGGTCTATGTGATCTAGTAGCCATAACCTACATGGAACGTGTGCTATGACATACAAGTCCTAGGTTCTACACCCAGGCATTACTTCCCCCCTCCCCCACAATTCCCCTTAGTTCAAAAAACAAAAAAAATTCATAAAACAAAGTGTATTTTTAATTTACAAAACCACTTTAAAATAACTCCCCCCCTTCTCAATCTTTTCTTCACCCAAGATATAACTTCCATTACTCAAGTTAATGGTGAATATTGCTTCGCTCGCACCCAGGGGGTCATGAACTCGAGTTTTTGTTAAACAGTAAGGATGGTTCCTAACGATCATACAGTGTTATCCAACATAATGATAAGAAAAACATATTATTTACACTAGGAAAATGCTTAGGGTTGGACTTGCGTTTCAATTTGGGGAGACGGGGTGAGATTGAGAATAAGGGTAAATTGGTGATTGACATAAATACTATTTAGCATTTTTTAATAAAACAACCAAACAAGGAAATTGCTAATAACAAATTTTATCCTAATTGTAAAATGTGCTAACAGCAATTAATGTGCTAAAAAGCAGTATTGAAATTAAGCTAGTAAGAGACTCTTAGAAAGCCAAAATCCAAACCACATAAGAAAAAGATACCAGTTACCCCAATTGCTAAATAAAACAAGCATTCATTCAAATTCAAGAACAAAAAAGATATCAGCCACCCTACTCTTCACCATTCTGACTTTCATCTTTGACAAGCTTGATCATATCATCAATTCGAAGAATTGTTATTGCTGCCTCAGTTGCAAACTGGCAAAGAATTCAAAATTATAAGAAACCATATCAACAAGTTGTCCAGACATCATAATGTATCAACAAATATACTTGGTACTCTGTATGTATCTCCCACAACTTTTACCTGAATTATCTTGACTTTACTCATTGCAGGCTCGATAACCCCTGCCTCTAAGTTGTTGCGAATAGTCCCATTTGAAAGATCTAGTCCCATGCTGCACCATTTGAAGATAAAGTCAAATCATATGAGTAAGAAGAGTTACAACTTCATTCAAATGATATTTCAACATGTTATAGACTTCCAATGGTTATTCTTTGGAAAATAATTAGACCCTTTAGTTATACACTTCAAACTCTGGAGGTTCGAATGCTCCAATCCAGTTAGGAAATTACCTTGAATAATGTTTCTTATCTGCCTTGGTTTGTGCAGTGTGATGGTAAGCCCGCAGTTTTGCAACTAATTCAGTGGCATCCTTTGCAGCATTGACAGCAAGCACCTAAAAGAGATAGGTGTTATAAGTTAGATGTCTATATAGCATTTTCGTAATAAAATGTGGACTGGCTTGGGAAGAAGGAAATGTTTATAACATGAAGGCTATCATAATTCATAATTTACCATACCTTTGGTATAATCAAAAGAGATTCTGCAAATTCTGCAATTGCCAATTGCTCTCTAGATCCTAAAGTTGTGGCAAGATACTCCAAATACACAGACAAGGCAGATTCAACTGCACCTCCACCTGCTACTACCTGTATTACCAACACCATAGGTCCATAGCAGACGTTAATAGCAATAACAAGAAACCCACTGTCACCAGCAATTTGTCTCATGTCCTGTACTATTATGATACAAAGGGGCAACAAAAAAGTATTGAAGTTTACCGTATTAGATTCAAGGGTCCTTTTCACAATAGACAAAGCATCATGCAGAGCTCTCTCCATCTCATCAAGCATATAATCATTGGCACCTCTAAGGATCAGAGAAACCTAGAAAATATTGACATGAGGGTAATTACACTTCACAAGGGCCCATTTGTAATCATATATTATAGCTAACTTTTGAGTACTAACATACTAAGATTTTGGAGAATAACTTAGTCATATTTGAAAGATATATTGGAGTTTCACATCTCTTTATAACTTGATCAGGGTTAAAAACATGATTTCGTGATCAGTCAATTACATACCGCACTAGTAGTTTTGGTCCCCTTTATCATTATCACATCATCATCAGCAATGCGCTCCTCAACAACTTCATCAGCATATCCAAGCAGTGATGAATCATAAGTTTCTTCCCCCTCCATATCAGCAAACGTTGAAACCTGCAGATCCATAAAAGAAAATTAATTGGTCTACTATCTTTAAAGCCTTTCTGTTGGTAAGCGAGATGATCTTACTCCATAACAGTATTAAGTATTATTACCATCTTTATAGTGGATAAAAGATTTTAAAAACAACTTTTGACAATCATCACAATTATTTCACACCTGGGTTTAGAAGTAACATACCATGGTTGCACCAGTTGCCTTGGCAACATGGCGCATATCCTCTTTCCGGACACGTCTCACAGCAATAGCCCCAGCCTCCACAAAGTACTGAAAAAGCAATAACAATTTCAGAGAAGAAAAGCAAAATATAAATTTGGTATAAGTAGCAGCATAGGCAAAACGTAATTTGACAAAAACAAATGAAAGACGCTTGCCTTGAGCGCCATGTCATCAATCCCTTTTGTAGTTAAAACAACATTAGCTCCAGCTTTCAAAAGTTTCTCAATACGTTCTTTTGTCATGTCAGCTTCCCTTTAAAGATAAAGGCTTTGTACCATCAGCATCACATTGGTTGAATATTTAAAAGTAATATAGGGTGAACCAGTTTTAAATTTATCTCATCACCTTTCGCGAATCTTCTCAAGCTCCCTAGGATCATTTACCAAGACCTGTACACCCAACTGCATTTTTGTCTTCTGAAGGTTAAAGTCAAGACAAGCAATCTTGGCCGGGGAAACTCTCAGAGGCATGCCTTGGGCAGCACGGCCAGTATTAAGAGCATACCCATTCAGTAGGTAGCTGTCTCTAGCACTTTGTCCATGAGCTTTCAAAATATTAATTCCCTGTAATATAGACATGCAGCTAATGATTCCACAAACCATAACCTTTCTCAAGGACAAAGCTACAATTTACTACAATTTACATAAAAGTTGTCATCTCATAAAATTTGGACACACAGAAGTACTTTGCAGGAAATATGTTAAAAATCATAACAGTCTACCTTGATTGGATATTTGATTTCCCCTCGTGCATTGGTCATCTTCACTGCTTGAACCGCATCTACAACCTATACATGCAAAATTAATGCATAAGCTAACCAGACACCTGACGTCCAAGGTCAGGGAAAATTTCTTCCCAAATAAAAAAGTACTGCAGGAAGAGAAGATATCATAGCACACTAACCCAAACCAACCATTTTTCTTATAAGATAGCACAATATCCCAAACCAATCTAGAGGAGAAGCTAGAAATTGGAAATCCTTTTCATGAGGAACGGAAATACAGGCTAAGAATAAATCTATTAACTGGTGAGAACAGCATTTAATATCAAGCAATTTTTAACAGCATTCAATAAAAAATTGCTGAGAACCAAAAACCAATTGGAAGTTTCTAGGCCAGACAACAAGCATACCAGATTAGCAAAGAAGTCGCTGTCACCAGATATCAGCTTGGAGGACATGCTGGTCTTGGCACAGTTTATTAGAGAATCCTTTCCAAGCTTCTCAACCTAGTAATGTTGGCAAGATAATCTAGTTAGTACATCATTTATGCAAAAGCTTTGCACCTACTATAATATATTTAAAATAAAGAGGGAGCTAAAAGGAGAGGGAAACAAGGGATATGCATCTTTAGAAACCTAAACAACTCTAGGATAAAAATTCAATCAATTAATTTTCGACCCCTTTCAAAGATAATCTGAAGTGAGGACACTTACCTTCACCGCCAATTTCTCATCGACATATTTGCATGCTTCCCTCATAGCTAGCTGCCACAAAATAAAAGCCAGACAAAATGTTCAGCTGTTAGAATGTTGATGCATTTGCTTTTTGAAAAAAATTATGTGGAAGAAGGTGGACACGTACTCTGTAACCACTGATAATAGATGTTGGATGAATTTTATTTCTCACCAGGTCATTTGCTCTCTGCAAAATAGCAACCGAATTGTACATTACCATGTCATCATTACAGTTAAAACTTGTGAGATTTGACATAAAGACATTAATCATGCATGAAAAGCCAGGAATGCAATGGCTGCAGTTACCTTCAGCAATTCTGCAGCTACAATTACAACTGATGTTGTACCATCACCAACTTCTCGGTCTTGAAGCTCAGCCAACTCTACTAGTACCTGCAGTCTCAAAAGAAATCAGATTAGTAGAGATCAATAACAGAGCTAAGAAACCGGAAATATATAACACCTGTAAATCAACAGTTTCTCCTAGTGAGTGGGAAAGCAAGAGTAACCCATTTAACATCTCAAAATATTATCAAAACATATTTAAGCAAGAGTGAAAAGAAAAATCTGACTACTAATCCACCTTGGCAGCTGGATGCTCCACTTCTAACATCTTGAGAATTGTAGCACCATCATTAGTAATTGTTACATCACCAATATCATCAACAAGCATCTGATATAAAACAACACAAATCATAGTGAGTCAAACTCAAATCCAATCCTAACAATCTTAAACTATGTGAACAACATTTTAAAAATAAAACCAACAGCAATACCGTAGATAATAGATATTGTCCGAAACAAACTCAACTGATTTTCCATTGGTATCATAATTGCAACATAAAAATAGTCATACTAATTTGTAAGTTAAAACATGCCTTGTCGAGTCCAACGGGTCCTAGTGAGGATTTGACGATGTTAGCAACTGCTTGGCACGCCATCACTGTTACACGCATCCAAAATGAGAGAAAAATGAGTTTAAAGCGAGGAAAGCACTTCAATAAGGTTGGAATCAACTCAGTTTTGCAAGTTATCGAGCAAAATAACTTCAACGGCGATTATAGAACACGCATCAAGACGTGAAGAGACGTAGAGAGGAAGTACCGTTCTGTGTGCGCACGTCTTGGCCAGATTGACGCTCTCCTTGAATATCAGGAGCTTGAGCAGAGATTGCCATTTCTGGTTCGCGATTGGAAGATGCCGACGCCAAAGGGGAGAGCTTAGATCGGATCTGTTAATGAATGGCGACGCCGGGAAGGCGAAGCTTGTGGAGAGTGGAAGTGTTGATCGAAGTGACTGAAAAAAAGGGAAACAACCCTCGAATGTTCACAGGGAAGAGGCCGCAGGGTTCGGGTTGAGCGAGGGTTTAATAGGCGCCGTTGGTAGGGCAGAAGGGTTACACCTATACGACGTCGTATAAGATAACCATTTTTGCTCTAGATGCCTCGTCTTTTCGAAAAATCGTAAAAAGGGACACTAAACGTCCGTTTACTTTGAGAAAAATAACTTTATTTTTAAAAATATTTTTTTACTGTTTGGTAAGTTGAGAAAGATTTTAAAATTTTTTAAAATATTAATTAATTAATTTTTTAAATTAACTTGAGATTATGACATTAATTAAATTATTGGAAGTTTTGTAGCAGCACAAATCCCTTCAGAAATTTCATAAGCTAAATTAATATATATATATATATATATATATACATATATGCTTCCACAAGTACCTTCATCTTCATCAATTGAGTAGTGAAAATTTGAAAATAAACAATCACAAACATTATAAGCAATTTCTCATGGTACTTGGCCTTTCGGTCAGCTGGCAGTTTATTAGATTGAGGTGTATTCTTTCACTTTCATGGGCGGGCTTCGAACTCATCCCTTGACAACTTGTTCAAAAAAAAAAAACAATTTCTTATGATTGTGAAGTAAATTTACCTACACAAATAAACTAAAATCAACATAAAGCTATGAAAATTGCATAATTATAGTTTTGAGTTTTTTATTTTAGTTTTTAAAATCTAAATAAT